AACTACTAAATCTTTTAAAATACGTAAACTGAATCACAGCACAAAGTTTAAATACGCTAACATCAACATGAAGAAAACTTCTATTTAGGGCTTTAAACACTTTATCTGAAATTGTTTATTCTTTTTATAATTGCTTTTACATCCCCATTTTAGTTGTTCTTCACTAACTGGGAACTCATTTGCTGAAAAATGTGTATCAACAAAATTATGGGCTGGTCAAAATCAATTTTTAGAACAGGTATAACTCTGCAAAGTTTATGTCACAACTCTGGCACTTGTGGTCCCACAGGGAGTAAAAGAGGAAGTGGTGAGGGAATCAAAGATGCAGATTAGGGTAGGAGACATGAGGGCTAAGGGCCGTATAGCAGTAACCCTTCGACCTGAATGAAACAGAGCTTGCTAATAATCCCTGTACTATGGGGATCCTGAGAAAAATCTTTTAATAAATTAAATCATCACCCCCTAATATATCTTTTTTTTAAAACTAACTTTTCATACACTAAATTAGTAAATGTACATGCATGTTAAGATCCACTTAAAAAACATAAACAAAAGTAATTTAGTTTTTGCCCCCTGACTTAGAAATTATCTTAAGAACTTTTAAAAATTCAGCTTTTTATGAAATCAATACTTTAACTATTCTACATGTATATCTCTAGTACACTATAGAGATATGTAGGGGAAAAATAATTATCTGACTATATTAAGTGTTGAAATCTATACACACCTGTGCTTTGTTATAATACAGAGAATGAAGTAGCATTTAAAGAGATTAAATATTGCTGTTTCCCTATGCTTTGATGCCTGGCCCTCTTTTATTTCTAGTTTTACTAATACTTCCTAGGTCATTTTTTTTTTCTCCATGATTTCAGGTCTGCTTATATGCTGAACATTTCTTGTATTATTATCCCTGGCCAAATGCTTTTTCCTGAATTTCAGAACTGTATGCACAACTGCCTAAGGGACCTTCTTCTGGAGATTGATTCATTTGGTCATTCATTTAGTCATCTTTTTTTTTTTTTTTTCCGAGCATCTACTCTGTGCCAGGGTTTGTTCTTAGCATTGGGGATATAGCAATGACCTAATAGACAATAATCTCTGCCTTCCTGGAGCTTACATTCTAGATAGATGATAAGCAAAACAACTAAGTGAAATTAAGTGTTACAGAGAAAAATAAGACAAGGAAGGATAAGGGAATCTTGGAGAAGGTACATTTTTAAAAAAGGCTGGTTTAGGAAGACTTCATGGAGCAGGTGATATTTTGAGCAAAAACCTGAAGGGAGTAAGTAAGCATATAACAGTCTGGTGGAAAAGCATTACAGATGTCCCACAGGCACTTCAAACCAGATTCCAAACTGAACTTACTGTTTTTCCTTGCAAGTCAGCTTCTCTTCCTATTTTTCCTGTGTCTGAATTATGCCCTAATATCTCCCACCAGTCAAGAAAAAACCCTGAGATTTACCCCTAGACTCTACTCCTTCCATAACTCTGAACAAACCTCACGTCCCTCTGAGCCTATCTCCTAATACCTCCTCTTGACTGTTCATTCTTACTGCCTTTGTTTAGACCATCATCATTTTCCTCTTAAATTTTTCTAATAAGTGTTCTCTTAATCTGTCTCCTTGCCTCCAATCTTGCCTCCTCCAATGCATCCTTTATGCTGCCAAACAGTGATATTTGTGAAATGCAAAGTTTATCATGCCTTTCTCCTGTTTAAACTTTTCAGTGGTTTCTCATAATGGTCGAACCTACTCTTTATTGTGGCATGGAGGGTCTGATGTGATTAGCATACTTGCCCCGCCCTCCTCTTCCTGATAACCTCTCCAGGTTTATCATTTTAAGTACATTTACTGGCTCTTGCTCTATAAAGTTCCTTCTAAAAGCGACCCCTTGCAACACTGTGCCCTCTCATACTTTCTACAAGTTACTTTTATCCAGTGATTTGTTTACATGTTTCTTCCCTAAACCCAGCTCAGTACTGGGTTCAAACAGGTACTAAAAAAATGAACAGATAAAATTAAATGTACTGCCCTTGATGACTGGTGTAATATAAATATGGATGCCTCATATCTAAGCTCTGGCCACAGGCGAAAGAATTTCTCTCTGCTCAAACTCTAAGAAACACCTTAGAAACCCCTTTTCAACATGTAATTCACATATCCCGATACTGAATACAAACTGCCAGTTTTATTTACTTGGAAAACCATCTGATTTAAAAGCAAAATAGTACCTTCCCAACAAACAGCTTCTACTTTGCGGAATTCACATATACATCATTTCATCCGTGTACTTTTTTTTAGCAACAAAGAGAATTTCAGTTCCAGAATATATGAACTGCAGAAATTATGAGTCACTTCTGTTAAAGATACTGTGAGTTTGATATCTGGTTACAGGGATTAAAAAAGGAAACTAAAGTTAATGACTGAAAGTAACTAGAGATAAAAGAAAATTAGCTTTACAAAGCTATTCTAGTGACACCTGGGGGTGGGGGGAATCCAACTTGTATATATGGGAGTAATGAAAGTGAAATCCAGCATCAACTGTCCAGACGTAAAATTAGCAAAATATTTACATATAATAGACCAGGAATAGCAAAATGTAATTTTATATGTATCATATCTGGAACAAAATGAAACAAATTGCAAACTTCTCATTTATTGAGCCTAGTGAGGGTAGCAATCTTTGTTTACAACAAGCACCTTATGGTAAATGGAAACTTACAGTACAACATTGCATTAATGTGAGAGGTATGTTATTGACAGTGTTTCCATTTGTTACCATAGTCATTCCTTATTAATGAAGAGCAATTGGAATTAAACTAGTGCATATGATTTCCAGAGACCTATGGTTCATTTTGTTTTCTATAGAATAGTAAAAACTAATTATTTGAATTAATTTTGTATTTTATACGCTCCTATCACTATTTTGATCTTTACATCTATGCATCTAGGAAGATTTATACTCTTGATAATGGTATTGGCATAATATGTAACTTTTTAAAAATACAAATTCTTAAAGATATTTTAAATATGTTATAGACATATAAACAGGCTTTCATTTAGAGTTTTATAGATAATTTAATTGAATATTGGCAGTTTAGCTCTCTTAAAACTCAAATCTTTTTCTCTATGGCTGGCAACCCTAGGCAGAGATTAAGTAGCACAGGGAGAATAAGCTATTGCTTATGTTTATCAGCTTTGATTATACACAGCAATCAACTGGAGATGTTAAGATACAGATTGCAATTCAACAGGTTTAGTGTACAGCCCTGGATTCCAGTTTCTAACAAGCTCTCAGGGGATGCTGCTGGTCCATGGACCACACTTTTGAATAGCAAGGCCTGAATCAAGGGTCTCAGCCTTGATGTTTATTGGAATCACCTGGGAGCTTTAATAATAATTTTAAAAAAACACTCCAGCATTGCTAGGGGTGTAAGGTTATTTAGTCTGGGGTCCAGTCTGGGTATAGAGTTTTTAAAACTCCCAAGGTGAAGCTAAGAGGCAGCTAAATTTGAGAACTTACGTCCTAAAATGTATTGGTCAGACTTACCATAAGCTTTTATTTCCCCTGGTTTTTATTACCAAGGATAACAGCTAGGAATAAGCAGTTCTGCATAGATTATGAGCACGAGGCCCCAAATCTCCAAATTCTTCCTGAGAATATGATGCATTATCAATCAGGTTCTAACATTAAGAATCTTAGTGACTTCATATCTACACTCCTACCAAATCATTAATAACATACTTTTAATGGTATCTTAAATATTCATGAATTATAACGGAACGACAATCTGAATTATTTTGATTAGGAAGTACAATAGACATATAAAAATGTGGTTTTAAAGTATATGGAGGTGTCCACCCCCAATTACAGATAAAAAGGTTCAGATTAGTTAGGAAGTTTAAAAAAAATAATCCCCAAACCTGGCACTTACACCAGGAGAAAGGCTCAGACACAGACAGGACAAGCAAGAGTTTACTTAGTGTCCTTATTTGAAGCAGGCACCACTGATCCTGGAGTTACAGACTGAATTATCACTCCTTCTTCATAAGGCCTTTCCTAATTATTTTGCTAAGCTGAGATGTGTAAAAGGTCAAGATGCAATTACATTTCAAGGCCCCCTCCCTAACTCTTGGAAAAAATAATGAAAATATTTTAAACTCTCAGCTATTTGCAGAAATTCCCTAAGTATGGTAAAGAGCTGGAGTACAAATCAACTGCCACATACTAATGATGTGACTTAAACTTTCTGAACAGGCTTTCTCACCCCTAAAATAGGGTGTAGAGAAAGTCCATTAAGAATGTAAAAGCAAATACAAATTCAAGGTAGCATTAAGTATTTAACTATGATAAGCTACAAAATAAATACATAAATGGTGTAGCAGTGCAAAGAACTCAAGTCCAGACTGGGGACTACTTCTAGGTTTGCCACTAATAGCCTATAAGCAAATCACATACCTTAGCCTCATTTTAAAAATAAAGGCACCTTAAATAGATTATCCTGAGAATCCTTAGCAGACCAAAGCTCAATGACCTAAAAATAACTAATTAAGTGCTCCTCTGAAGCAATTACGATTAGTTCTAAAGCAAAAAAACCCCCACCTTGTTACTCTTAACATGATTGGTTTAACAAGTCTCTTAAGAAAAACACATTTTAAATTTGTCCCCAAGAAAATCTTCTAATTATTTAGCTATAATTTAAAATAGCAAATAAATTTAAAAATTAAAAAAAATGGAATGTGGGCGGAAATGGGGAGAAAAGGATCATTAAGAAAACCAGTGTAAGAACACCATGCCGAATTAAAATAAACAATGTAAACTGAAGATGAGATATTAAAAAGCTTTTCCTAAGGAAAACTACTTCAAAGCATGCAGTATGGGATTTTACAGTCTATTCCAAAGAATATACGGCATTCGTTTTAAATATACAAAATGTTTCTAAGTACTGCGAATAACTCATAATTCTGAAATAAAATTATCCCAATTAATAAAGATGGTAATACATGGAGATTATTTCCTTTTATTGTTCAGTTTGAATACATGTCCTGCCAACCACAAATCACCTAATGTGACCAAATACATGAGAAACCCCTGTAAGAATCACAAAGTGCCACTTTCGCAGCTTTCTGTCACAAGGATGCTGAGAAAATCTAACAGTGAAAGAGACACAGGTTGTCTCGATTATTAGTTCCAATCATTAATCTTCTTCGGAACTAGAATCATCCTCTTGGTCAGAGAGTTCGGGGACAGGGAAGCGAAGAATGGCAGCTATCCCAGTCAACTGGCTGAGCTGTTCCCCAGACACATGAAGACTGGAGAAGATCCTAACAGAGCCTGCGTTCTCCTTCACACTGTCCACCAGCTGCACGTACCGGCTCCGTGTGGCTACATCCTGGTGCCTGAAAAGCTCATCGCTGATGAGCAATGTGTCAACTGCCATGGCCTCATTGGCCTTCTCCACCTGCTTGAGTCCATAAAAAGCTCGGTCAGGTTCATGTTGTAACATTTTATAGAAGTCATCCAAGGCTTTTACTTCCCCAGCGGCTTTAGTGTCTGAAAGGCGGCTAGCTACTGTAGGGTCACAAAGGGCCTCTTTCAGGGAGTACTTGTGTCCAGAGGAGGCATGTACCTAGAATCACAATTACAAAAGTTAGACAAAAGATCTCTTAGAGTACCCATTAAACAGCCCACAATGACCTCAAGCCAAAAACACTGGTAAGGCTTTATATGTTTAAGGATTTAAGCCAAGTTTACTATATCAATTTGCTAGTCTCTTCTCATTTCATGATCTCACTTACAATCCCAGTCAAGTTAAACCTTCCTCCTCTTGTACTTTTCCTAGTTCTAAAACTTTAGGAGTCATTTACATAAACCCCTCTGCCCATTCTTAATTATCCCTGGGTAAGACTGTTTTACCTGAAGGAATTTGGACCGGTTTTCCAGGAGCACTTTGTTGTCCGTCTTCACTGCTTGTTGAAACATGTAGTCGCAGAACTGCTCCCTCACAAATCCTGGGCTGGCCACCAGGACGCACTTTACAACATCAAAGTGTATGTGGCGCTGGATGGCCTGGACCACCTGTTCATAGAACCGCTCCAAGGCCCGGTCGTGCTGGGAGCAGTTGCCTTTCCGTTTCCTAGGGATGTTCACTTCCACCTTGGCCCGAGTGAGGGTCATGCTGGGAGTGACTAAGCAGATATGAGCGAGGCCTTCCTGCATCACCACAGCCGCTACATCAGCGCTCCAGGCTGGGTCACAGGCTTGCTCGATGCGCTCCAGAACCACACTGTCCCACTGTTTCTTGGCCAGGGTGAACTGGCGGTTGGGCTCCAGTTCGATGGTGTGGTAAGCCCCCATCTTGACATACTCATTCTCCTGGATGTTAGTCCCCTTGACCCGCAGCTGGCAGGCTTGAGAGTCGAAGTCGATGGCCTCCACGCAGAGAGTGAGGGTAGTGCGGACCCGGTTGCTCCCTACGCTGCCCGTGGAGGACTCCGTTTGTACCTTGCGGATGGTGGAGGCGCGCAAGCTGTCGCCCACCTGCACTAGATTGTAGGTGTGCCACATGTCCTCAGGTTCCTCGGGAACCAGGGTCACCTGGCCCGCATTGTCTTTCTCAATGTCCTTCCTCACGAGCTTCATGATCTTGGCAGGGGCTCACTGCCAGAACAAGAGGAACCGAGGGGATCGCCACAAGGAAAGGGGTAGGGAGGGGAAAGTTTAGGCCGTGAAGGGGACGGGGTCCGGTTCCTACAGGCACTTGCCTGGCGAGAAGGAAACACTTTCTATATGACTCTAGCGGCTGGGGGGAACACTTACTTTAGCCCTTCCTTTTCGTGGTCTCGGGGCGCGCCGCGTCGGACCGGCGCAAGAGACACCGGCGAACACCCTCTCCGCGGTTCCAGCCGCCGTACAGATCAAGAGGCCGATGCAGTAAGGGCGCATGCGCGGCCCACGTCCTGCCTCCCGGCGCACGTTTTACGTCCGCAACGGGGAGGCGGGACCGCAGCTTACGCGTGCGCAGGCGCACTAAGCTGGGAGTTGTTTCTCGGAGAATAAACCACCCGAGGGAAGTGTACGGAATCTTTGCTGGCGAGTCATTCGTATTAATGCTGAACTTGGACGTCCTAAGTTTTCTCTTCCACCCCTGTTTGTGAAGAATCTGGGGAGTTTGTGAGTGCAAACATATATATTTTTTTCAGCTGTGTGCGGTTGCCACGCTACACCTTCTCCCGCCGGGTAAATGCAATTTCAAAACTTACGGAAAAGTAAAAGGAGCTCAGAAAAGTGCAGACTTGGCCCCAAGGTCCAAACTACGGCCCGCTTTGCTCCTGCCTTATCCGCACTCAGACGCCACACGCTTTTTGGAGCTGGTCTGTCCAGAAGCTGTTTCTTAAGAACGACTGGTCATGGTGCGTCTGGGCCGTGAGTAACGTGCCCAGCTGTTTTCTGCGCTTAATTAACCAAGTCTGCATGATCTGATTAACCCAGATGTTAGAACATTGATCCCAGAGAAAGAAGAAACCATCTGTGGAATTTGCCCCTGGATGGACCTCTCAGTTGCTTGATCTGATGTCCTGAGAATCCCAGAATCCAAGGTTGGCAGACTCAGCTTTCCGCAGCTCAGTAGCCTGTGAAATGTTTACGGGGGGGAATTGGGTCTCGGTAGTTTAGGACGGGATCTTCACTGTCAAAGCTGAGCTGAGAGCTGAGGATTGGGGAAGTGGGGAAGGACTGTTCTACTATGACCGACCTTGATTGAATAGCTACAGAATTCATTGCTAAGAAAAACCTTACGTCACTTAACATTTTTGGGGGGAAGGAGAGGCGGGGGAGTTTGGGAAGTGGGCCTTGCTTCTTAAAAGGACCAGTGAATAGAAAAAGCCTACCAAAGTTTTCTTGAGAGTTAAGATGGGTTGGAGAGAAGAAGGCACAAATCTTCCCCATTCGCCTTCCTATCTTATTGCGTATGGCATTTAAAGGGACGCTTACCATCCTGAACTGGTGAGACAGGGATGAAAGGGAGCAATATGATGTTGGCACAAGTCTTGATACTCAGATCTCAATTAACTTCCTCAGAGGTTGTCAGGGGATACATAGGTCCCCTCCAAAACTCTAGTGTAAATTAGAACCAATATTTTGTGGCCTCTCTTCTCCCTCCTTCTCTTTCTGTACCTCCTTCCTTCCCCACCTTCCTATCATACTGAGTGCCCTTCCAAAGTTCCTAACTCAGACTGCCTTCTTCTACTTCCAGGAGAACCCAGCAGCTTTTCACTGAGCGAGGAACTGATCACACTAAAGTGTGAGTATGGCTTGTGTCTCCAAAGGACATGTATCTTTTTAAAAGGTGCTTGTTAAGCTACAAGAATTCTTAACTGGTAGAGTGAATGTGTGTGTGTGTGTGTGTGTGTGTGTGTGTGTGTGTGTGTGTGTGTGAGTGACAGAGAGAGAGAGAGAGAGAGAGAGAGAGAGGGAGAGAGGGAAAGGAGGAGATGCTTTGAGATACTCCTTGATCACCTTTCTAAGTATAATCATCTCCCTCTTGAAAAATCTGCCAAGGATCGAAAACCACAGAATCACAGTGATAGGCACACAGGGACCTTAATAAATGTTAGGTTTTTACTGAAGAGCTATCACTTACTGAATATTCACCTGGTACTTTCCTATGCTTTTTCTAGTCCTCACCTGTAAGGTAAATATTTGTTATCCTCATACATAGATGAAGAAAATGAATTACAGAGAAGTTAAGAAATGTATTCAAGATCACATAACCAGCATTCAAATCCAGGTCTGCTTAATTCCACACTTTCTCTTTCCACTGACACAATTCTACATTTATGGATGCTTGAAATCATCTCTGCAACCCCAAAGATTATGTGCTATTACCCACTGCCATTTCCCCTTAACTCTCACCTTTGCCAGTTAAACAAAGACTCACAGCTTAGGAACCAACCTAGGGCATTTGAAAGGAAGGTCCCTTCCTTGCTCTTTTATTACTTTAAAACAGTCCTTATATTCTTTTCAATGTAATATTCCTTTTGCTCAGCCTAGGTCACCGTTGTAATTCTTGAGAAAGATCTAATATTCTACTTTAGAAAAATACACACATATTTCTACATTGAGAATCTATGGGAAACCCCCATAGACTGTTGATTCTGTGGTTCTTTTGTTTGTTTGTTTTAATTATGAGGCACACTGCTTTGGGCTGTCTTTTTAAATATAAATGTGCTTCAGTGATTGAACATACTACAAAACTTTTCACAGAATTATCATTTAATCTGAAACGTCTGTAATAGAATTTTCTTTTTAGTAACTTGAGCTTGTTGAATGATCAGGTGTTTTTCTCCTAGATTTTGTGTTATAACTTAGTCTTTCTAGATCAGTCATAACACTTTTGAGTTATTTGGGGTTCTCATTCCCTATTAATTAAAATCCAAATTCCCTGGCATTCAAGGCTTCCAAGACATGGCTTTACAAGCTTTATTTCTCCTTTAATTCAGAGTTTTTGATTTGTCTATCACTGATATCCTAAAATTAAGAAGTCACATTCTGTTTTATAATGTTACTAACAATTTAAAAAGATTACTCTTAAAGTAAGTTTCTGTAAACCTTTTTCAGTTTTTTGAGATAATCCATGCATAGATAAGAAAATGATTAATTATTTTTAAACACATCTTAACGAGGAAAAGGTCTTAAAATGTTCAAAAATAATGTATGATGACAATTAGTTTTATTATACTTGGTTTGGAAAATGATCTTTACAAAATAAATAGCTAGCACTCTGATTATAAATATCTAGTGAAAATAGCAATAGTTTATTTAGAGAGAATGTGCTAACCTTAGATTGTACAAAGATGCCTATGTGACCTCCACAGGCAAAGTTAGTGGTCAACAGGGAGGGCTATTCAGCGAATTCAGGCAAAATGGTGAAAGGGAAAAGGGAAAGGTTTTTTTTTTTTCTTTTTTAAAGGAACTTGCTGTACTCACTTACTATCTAAATTCCTGTAATTAAAACTACTTACTTGCAACTGTCACAGAACAATACAAAGCTCCTACCAAATAAATAATTTTATCAACAAAAGTGTGTGTGTGGGGATGTTCCTGTTTGTATGAATCTCTGTACAGTACCGGATCATTTTATTAAAAATATTACAATAAAATATATAATTTTAGGAACTGGTCAATACCCATGCATTTTCAAACTGTAGTACTTGGCAAACTAAAAGTATATAGTTAATAAGAAAATTTTGAAAGTACATTGTAATTTGTATTAATAGTATAGGATTTATAATAAAATATGCAGACCATTCATCTTAATCATTTGAGGTTCTAATGTGATTGATTTAAGTGTCCTATTTAAATTTAAGAATTTACATTTATTTCAGCAGATCTCAGATAGTTCATAGAAAAAAGCATATGTCTTCACTCCTTTTAATATTTGAATTATAATGATTTTTCAAATCAGATTTCTCACTTAATTTGTTTATAGAGCTCTACATTTGGATAAAACAATATTAATGCTTTTGCACATAAAATGAATTCTTAATACTAACCAGTACATATATTGTAATCTCCTTTTAAGATTTAGTTGACTTTTTCATCTTCCTTTTAAGTTATAGAAGACGTTAGATAAAAATTAGGTCCCTTCAAATATACATGGCCCTAGCTCTAACCACCAATATGATAGAATATTAGAGACGTTAAGCTTGCCAAAACTAGCGTTATTGATCCTGTGACCTGGAACATTTTTTTATTACTTTTACTGTCACCTTTCTCCTCCTGAAGCTTCCTTTTTAAAGGGAGAGTATTTAGAGGAAGGTCTGCTCTTGGGATCTGGTGAGGTTGCTGGTGCCAGAGGAGCAATTATCCCCTCAATTAGATACAGATTTGGCTCTGGAAGAGAACTGAGAAGGGGGACAATGTTCATATCTTTGTACCTAGAAGGAGTGTGTCTGAAATCTTACGATGCATGTTTTAAAAGTACAAAGAAACGTGATAGAAAATTGCATGTAGATATACTGCATGTTATTTATTATAATTTTCAGATGTATATTTTCCCACATTTCAACATCTCTTGAAACTTGGAGGCATCTAACCATTTAGCAATTATAATTGGATTGGCAGTACTTTTCTTTCTTAATAGTACATAAAATAACGGTGCAGCATTCAGTTGATGGTGTCTTCCATTCAGTTAGATATAAATATGGGTAGATGGAAATATTCCAGGTGGGGATATAATTAGAAGAGACAACCTGACCCCTTAAGTATTTTATGAGTTTGTCTGTAGTCTAGTCTTTTGTGACTCGTTCAATAACAAATTTTCAAGTGACTATTATTCTAAGATGGTAGAGATAATGAACAAAGACCCTATCCTCACAGAGCATACAGGGAGCTGGGAAAACAGACAGTTAGATGTTTAATTTTAATATGTGGTATATTGTAGAAGCAAAAGTGCTAAGGGCCTACAAATCTCTGGGGGAGGGGGTCCAATCTACTCCAGTGGGTTCTTGGAAATCACATTCATATGGGGACTTGAGGACCAGTAGCAGTGTAACTGCTTATGCAAAAGCCTGGAGACTGCAGAGGAGCTGGCACAATAGAGGAGCTGAAAGAAGCTTAATAATCATGAGGATGAGAATATATTCAGCTCATTTACATCTGTTGATGCTCTACTGTACTTGCTTTGAGAGCGAATACAATTCTCCAGTCACAGACCACTCTGAATAGGCAACGTATTCTGACTTTAGCATTGTGACAACAGTTCCAAATATCTTTCATCTCAATTTCCTAACATGAATTCAGATACACTATTTTGTATTTCATACCACAGAAGAGCAGTGTAGGTAAAGAATAGCATTTTGATGCCTAATTTTCTGAATATATTTAAAACATGAGCTCCTTTA